CACTCCCTGTACAGAGACTAACACCAACAATGATTTGCATCTACTCATGATTAATGCCTGTCAGTCCTGGTTTATTTTATTCATCTGTGCCATAGACCTCCACTGTTGTTCAAAAACAACTAAAATCATCAGGGAAGCACTCTGCTGCACTTTAACAATATCCAGAGATCTCATGCATGGGCCATTGACTCTTGCTTACTTCAGACGCTGTAAAAAGTTATGGCTGTTAGGAGCCTTTGGGGCAACATTTATTTAAAATAAATATTAGGTACTTGTGTTTCATAATGAGAAACCATGTTAACCAGTGTAGCAGTGTGTTTCCCTGATGTGTTTTTATTGTTTTTGAACAACTATAGAGGTCTATGGCAAAGACAGATAAGCTAATCCAGTACTGACATATTGACAGACATGAATTGTGAATAAAGGAAAATAATTGATTTTAATCTCTGTATGGTGAGTAATACTGTTACTATAGAAAATGACTGGCCTTATCCTTTAACAGCACTTATCAAATAGGCCTTGATGACTGAAAAGCTAGACAGAAAGCATTGTCTAAAAGATATATAATAGCCTGCTCAGAAGTTGACAAACAGTATTAAAGAACAGATCTTGAAGGAAAAGATTGTCTGGTCTGATGCCACAGGAATGGAGCCCTTTGGGCAGAAAATCAAGTATAATGTGATGAACACAAGGCACCAATCTTTTGTTTGTTTGTTTTTTCTTTCTCTGATTATATCTTTGCAACTGTACTTCACTGGCGATGATAAGAGTGACTGCAACACACAACCTACCATAGAGAGATGTACCAACACAGAGACAAATTTCTGAAAACCCAAGACAGATACCCACCTGGGTTGGCTACAGTTTCACAGTGCAAAAATAATGCAAGTTTCTCCAGCAGGTTAAAACTGAACTATTTCCCTACCAATATACTGTAGATCCTTGTTTGGCAACATAATTTCGCTTAATTTAATAATTTTACTTTTTCTAAACAAATTCAGGCTGTTGCATTGGATTTATAGCTCCATCGACTAACCCCATAGTACCCCATACTTTGAATGGTATTAAAGCTCTGAGTGCCAAATCTACTTTGAGGTTGATGTCTTTGGGAACAGTGTTGCTGCAATTTTTTTGTCTGAGAAAGCCCCTTCCGACAGCCAGAGGAACATCATACATGTTTTGTGCAGACTTTGACTTTATCAAGTGCAAGTTGTAAAAATCATTTGCCATTTTCAGTGTTTTAGTAGCTATATGGCCCCCTCTACAACCACTGCCACCTCCTATGCCTCCCTTTGTTCTCTCCAGCTCTAATAGGTTTTCCCCTGCCACACACAATTCACTTTTTTTCCTCTTCCCCATTTCCCCCACCCCCTTTTAGTGCAGTACCCAGTGTCGACTGGAGCATTTGAGCAATTTGAAATTAAAGCAAACAATGGGCAGGCACTCACAGGGACCTCTCGCTCACCATATTACACGGAGGACGCTCGTGTGCTCTTGCGCATTATTGGCAAGTCATTACGTTTCTCTGGAAACCAAGGGTGGGAGCTTGCTCAGAGGAATCGGTGATGCAAGCAGCAGCTGAGTGCTTGGAGAAGGATGTGTGTGTTCTGGCAACAACATGGTGATGGTGTTAAAGCACAACTGTACCATTGGTCAGATATGTACCCTGATATAAGCCTCTCAGCACCAATTTAATATTTGAAAGATAAAGGTAATCTATGCAGTTAAAAGGTTTCTCAAGTTTAGCAGTTGTACACTCACTCAGTCATTCAACCATCTGGAAAACCATAGGCCTATTTAAGTTACCTGACAACAATTTTTAAGTAATGGAACCCAAGCTGGTGTCCGTCCAGAGGTGTAGGTTTATAAGTCAAACGTATTTAAAAAGAACACACACAAACACACACACACACACACACACACACACACACACACACACACACAAACA